AAAATCTTTTTCGTAACCTTTTCCATACCTTTTCTCATACCTTCTATTATATTTTTCATTTCGAATTTTCCCTATTTCATTTTTTAATTTAACATTTCTTCCGTCATTCTTTCATTTTCATTAATGTTTTTCAATTCCCTTTCATTTTTTCTTTTTTAATTCCATTATTTTTAATTTCAATTTCTTTTGTGATCTTTATTCTATCTCTTCCTATAACTCTTTTCATTTTTTTTCGATGTAACACAATACCAATTACCCATAAACATACAACTACTACAGATATAATACAATTATTGTTCTGTGGAACCATTTCCACATAGCCTTGTGTTTTGATATTTCTTTTATAATTAAACATTTAGTCTTTATTTAAAAATTTTTATTCAAGATAGGTATTTATATACTTTAATTACTCTATATTCCTTTTTAATTATAAAAAATTTATTAGAACCTTTATTATAAATATTTTAACACTACTAAATGTTAGAAAATTCATTATACTAATTATTTTACAAAATATGACAATACAAATACAATAATTACTATTATAATAAATTTGTATTTTACCTTTTATCTTAAGAATTTTATTTATTTTTACTATGTTTTTTTTTCTTTTTATTTTTTGTGTTCCAAGCTCTTTATTTAATAGGACGACACCAACTTTTGAAGCTTATCTAAATGAACATTTATATTTATTAAAAGAGGAAAAAAATATTTTTCTTTACAAAATAATCTTATCACGATAATAAAAAAATTATATAATTTTTACGCGAAAATTAAATAATCTTTTTTTTTCTAATAATCTCACGCGAAAAAAAAATCAATATATTTAAAATAAATGATCTAGTTTTTCTCTTTTTCATATAAAAATAAAATACATACTTGACATCATTTCTAATAACAAGCAATTAATCCCCAAAATCATAAAAATAATAAACAAAAGAATATTACAATATTATAACACATAGTTAATGAGTTTTTTTAAACTTTTCATTAGAAATATCTTAAAGATTAAAAATTTTAAAATAATATCAGTCAATCAATAAAAAAAATGGTTTTATTGGCCCAAGTGGTAATGCAAAGTCTTTCCAATTGTCGTTTTTAAAAAGGCTAACTCAATATTTTAGTCAAATTGCTTAAGCCTTGAAATTTAGTTAATAGATTCCAAATCTTTGTACCATCTATAAACAAAATCATCGCTTGCGTAATATTTTTAATTGAACCTGACTACGGATCTTGGTATTTGACGATTATAAGGTTAAAAACACGAAAGGCGATATATTTCTCTCTCGTGGGGGGGGGGGGTGATAGTACCTCTTACAGTTACGGCCATAATAAAATAGACAATATCAATTATTGACATGTAATTCCGTACTTACTCCTCACAGTTGAAAAACGTTAATATTAAAAATATAGAGGTTTGCAATAAGCAGGTTTTAGCTAACAAGCCTACTTACTCGTTGTTAGTCCATCCATGGTCTTTGAAAATCTTTTTAATGGCTGGTTTGACTCATTATTTATTTATTTTAATATGTTTTTAATAAACCTATAAAATTTACAATATTATGAAATAAAAAAATGATTTTCTAAAAATATTTAAGATTTACCCGCCATTAAAAATATCTTTTTAACTCGCCACCATCCACCCGATATTTTGAATATTTTATAAAGCCCACGCCCGCCCATTGGAGTCCTTTAATTTATATATCAACTGTTAGAGGAGAGGGTTCAGCTTTCATTTGATATAAAATGTTTGTATTTCAGTATTTTTGAGAAATCTAAACGTAAAAATGTAAAGAAAATTTTAATTGAAATTTAGGGTAATATATTACCCTAAAACCATTAATATTTAATATAGAGATAAAATATATTTGTTGCACATTCTCTATCATAATTATTTATATTGTAATTGTAAGTAAAGTTTCTAAACTTCTATATTATACTCAAAATATTAGTAAAAAAATATATACGAAAAATAAAAAACCCTATCAAACAATTTCATGCCTACATCAATTATTCGGTATAAAGCTAATTTTTATTAAAGTGATTGATAATAATCTTCTAAATTATAATTAGATTTATTGATACCTGTTCAATAAAATATATTCTTTATTGTCAAAGATATGGTTCTAAAATAAGACACCGCATACTTTACATTTTGATTTTTATATTTATTACAGTGTTATGCGGATTTTATGAGAACATTTCCATACTTTTTAATTTATTTGCAAATATAATTATTCAACTTGTAATAATTGTTGTTAAGAATATAATTATGTTATTTTAACAATTTTTAAAAGTAATTTAATTTTCAAAATTAAATAATATGAAAATGTTTTCAATCAAATCTGCAAAACACTGTAAATTACAATCATGATATATTTGTTTTATATTGTTAAATTTTTATCAATATAATTATTAATTAAAGATAAATATAAAATATATAATAATACTAATTATTCAAAATTTTACTAAATATTATGACTACCACAAAAAAGGTTTAAAATAAAGATACTACAATATTATTGAGATTTTGTGAAAAATCCCCCTCCAAATAAAATGATTTTACAAGCAAGAATAATTGAAAAACTGTACAATTATTTTCCAAGCCAAGCAAAATAATTTTATATGGAGGGGGATTAATTTAATCGTCAACATGTTTCATAAACGCATCACAATACTTTAGCTTCCCATCTTATTATTTTTATTTACATTACCGCAATTTAAAAATACAGTATAAATATGATTTGTTTTAAAACATTTCCATATATTTATAACAACTTTCAAAAATTGTTTAAAAATGTTATCAATATGATATTATTACAATAATTACAGCAAGTCAAACAATATTATAAAAAAGTTGTTACAAATATGTTGAGATGCTTTGCAAAAATTCATCCACACACTGGTTAACTTAAAATATATTATGGGTTTTTATTTTTCAATGTTTAAAAAATCCCTTGAATATAATTTAAAAAAATAGTTAATAATAAAAACTTAGAATAAATGCTTAATTACAAACTTAAATACACTTTAAATTACTTAATAAACATATCCAAAATTCATAATGATTACAAGAAAATTTTTTATTTTATATATTTCTTTTTTTAACCAATCAACAATTTTTATAAATCAAACAAATATAAACTATGTAATAATTCGTATACAACTAGGACAATATTATTTTAGAAATTAGACACCTGTCAAACAATAGCCGAGAGAGGTAAATTAAATCTCATACTTTTACAGTTAAGGATTTTTTTTCTATTTCAAAATTCAAATTTATCTTACAATTTACTTTAAAATTTATATTATGTCAATTTTCAAAAATCTAACAGTCTACTCCTACAACATTCCTGGCCTACTTTCAAAAACAACTATACTTAGGAAACTCCTTGATCAATATGATATTAACATTATTTTAACACAAGAATCTCTTATTACCAATAATATAAAAAAAAAAAGAGAAAACAAAACAAAAAAGAGAAAAAAAAAAGAAAACAAAAAAATAAATAAATTACAAATTACAAAAAGTAACTCTTCTTCCTTTACTTCTTAATCACCCCCCCCCCTCCCCTTTTTCTTCTAATACATATTCCTATCTTATCTTATAATAAAAAACATTATTTACAATGTGGATCCTGGCTTATCCACGAGTGGTACCCGTCATCCCACTCAAATTAAACGGGACCCTGACAGTAGGGTAATTTACTGTCAACTTTGTGGATCCTGGCTTATCCACGAGTGGTACCCGTCATCCCACTCAAATTAAACTGGACCCAGACAGTAGGGTAAATTTTCTGCCAAACGGTGAATGCAAATTCACTGCACTGGAGACGCCCTCTATGGGGTGGTGGAGTGCCCACTTAATTGTGGGATGTCTCCCCAGTGTATAATATGATATGATATGACAGTTAAAATAGGTAAATTGCAAAAGCTTGGAATCAAAATATTTATACGAATTTTTTATGATTAAAAATCAGTTTGCGTTGTATACGAAAAGTAATAATCTTATATATATATTTTATTTATTTTTTTAAAGTTAATATCCTAATGAAATATCTTCAAATATGTCAAGATTTTTATAAATATTTTTATGTAATGTCAACTTTCTAATTATATGCTTCTTTTATTTACATTTGATTAAATTTCATATATTTAATCTTTGTTGGTTTTTTTGAATATCTATATAGATATTAAAAAGAAGGCCAGGCCTGAAAATTTAAATTTATTAGAAGTGTTTTGTTTTAATTTCTATAATATTTGATATAAAATTATTTTATTATACAAAATATCATAATTATTATAAAATAGTGCTGTATAAACATTTCTAAAAATCGAACGCGTTCAACGATCATTGATGGAAATCAAGCAGGTTCAACATTCACCTTTATAAAAGGTACGCAGGCGTTCACGTTCTTTCAAAACTTTATAAATAAATTTTTTTAAAAAATTTCTATAATATTTAATTTAATGGACAAAATTATTTTTCTCTGATCAATCGCATACTGAATTTATACTTATCAACCTAAACATTAAGATATCTAACAATAATGTTTAAAGATTTCTAGAAATATACCACTTCCCTCAACTTTTTATTATCACGTAACATATATAATTAAATGTTTACTGGAGATCTTTTCTGTCTAATAATTTAGGGATACAATTTTTTATAAAGATATTTAATAATAAAATTTAAGAATGACAATTATTTAATTTACCCAGAACGCTACCACTAAAGATAGAAAACCCTCAACTGTAAAAAATAATAGAAATAGGGAACAAACTTTTGATAATTCCCTTATGTTTCCAGTAAAAAATTTATAGTCTAATATTTTATTTGCAACTAATTTATTTTTCTACTATAAATTTAAACTTATTTTCTCTTAAAACAATCATGTCCTCTCTCTCTCTTAAATCAATGACAAAATTTTATTTCTCCCTATTAAACTTTAACTGAATTTTTACTGTGTAAACTAAAACTAAAGACATTCAACAATAAAATGCAATGGATCAGTAGCATATGGACAACAATACACAGACTCCTTAGAAGGGATACAAGGATCGATATTGAAAACAAAGCTTTCGAGATAGATAGAGACATGAGAGAAAAAATAGAATATTTGACGCTTAAAAAAAGCTTCTATACTTCTGCTAATCTAATGTGTTCAAATAACTTCCATCGATAACGCTTGATAACAACAAATTAATCACTGACCCAGATGAAAAGAGGGCGCAGTGGTTAGGCAATTACATGGGTATCTTTGAATCAAGGAGGCCAACCTTGCTATCTATCATCCACTGACTATGGCGTTGAGCAATCTCCTGTAAAATTTTCATCCGTCGAAATATCTGCCGCCATAAACCAACTTAGGAATACAAATTACCTTGTCCTGATTTACTGGGGATCATCTGAAAGCCGCCCCAATTCTCTTATTCTTTCTAATAATTTTTATTAAAATATGGCTCAATAGAAAGATGCCTGCCGATTGAAATATGACTCTTTTACAACTTCCCTAAATTTTCTAATCCAACCAAATTCATAGATTACAGAGCCATTCTCATGGCTATTACATAAAGGTTTTCATGGTCCTAAAAAATTGCATTCTTTCTTCTTCACCTAACCTGTTCTCTAAATTAATCTGCGCCTACTGTTCAGGAATAAATATAAATGAACCAATTTTAGCTTTGAAGATAATAATGCCGAAATGTAACAAATATAAGTTGCCTTTCTATTACATTTTTATAGATTTCAAACGCCCATTTGCATTGTCATAATCTTTTGTGGAATATCTTAACAAGATGTGATATTGACATTAATATCATAAAAATTCTCAAAACTCACAACTGTAGTCTTTTTTGCCACTTTCAAAATTAAAAATAAAGTTTCCCCATCCTTCAAAATAAAAAAGGGGTTAAACAAGGATGTGTTATTTCCCCGTTGTTGTTTAATATTGTCATGAACATGATTGTAAAATACACTTTGGGGACCAAATCTATTTCAAAAGGTCTGATAATTTATGTCGCTTATAGAATAGGGTGATATCCTAGGTGACATAGTAACAAAAAGTTTGGAAGAAACCCAGAATTTGAATTAAATTCCTTTAATCTTAAAGCTGGCCTAGATATAAAAATTTCGCTGTTAGGAGCAAAATAGTTAAGGTTGTGAAATCCTTTATATCCATGTAACCATTGACAACAGATGCGGTTGCAAAAATGGAACATAAAATCTATATATTAAATGCCAGGAGAGCTTTTTATAAATTTAGAAACTGTAGAAAGCTAGAGTGACATCTGTGTTTACAAGACTCCGAATTTTTAATTTTAACCATCATTTCTCCTTATTGTGGAGACGACATCTGAGATATTACCAAGAAAGTTACCAGAAAATTGCAAACATACTTAAATAAATGTCTAAGAACAATAAACGGCATATTTTACCCTAATATTATTTCGAATGAAAATCTTTGAAAGAGATCAAACGACTCAAATACACGTGACATTAAAAAGAAGCCCTTACTTTCCTTACCCATATTTTGAGGAACCACAGTAATAATAGCCTGGTTATCGATGCCATTAGCTGGTTATACTCCTTTAACCCTTCACTACAAAGGTGGGGTAAATAGGACCCCACAACTTTTATAATCTTTGTAATACAAAAGCTAGAAGATATTCCGACCTGATTTTTTCAGTAGTTTAATATTTTGTAACAAGGAATACAACTTCCAAATTTCATGATTATTGATTTGATAGTTTTTGAGATATATGGTATTTGTTGAGCTTGGGGTAAAATATACCCCACCTATGTAATGATGTAATTTTTTTTTAAAATCCAATTTTTTTGTTACTAATTATATTTATGTATGTCAGGTTAATAAATATAATTGAAAAAAATATAATTATATCTATTTTTTGATTGATATATATGACTTTAAATTTGAAAATTTTATATTATTTATTTTTTCGGTGGAGTTAAAAATCATATATGATTTTTAATTTGAATTATTCTAGTGACATTTTATACTTTGAAAATAGAATTATATGCTGGCAATCAGCCTGAAGGACCTTATAAATTGAGAAATAAGCCTTTTGATGTGGTTGAAAGGTTAATTCAGCCCATTTCTAAGAGTAATAGGAATGTCACGACAGATAACTGGTTTACTAGTTATGAACTTGCTATACATTTATTAAATTCCCATTCATTAACAATAGTAGGAACTTTAAGAAAAAATAAATAGCAGTTTCCAACATCATTTAATTTTAAAAAGAAAGATATTTGTTCAAGTGTATTTGCCTGCTAAGATAATATGTCATTAGTATCATATGTACCAAAAAAGTATAAGCATGATGCTTTCTACCCTTCACTATGATAACAATATTGATACATCAACTGGGGATTTGAAAAAACCAGAAATTATCACATTTTAAAATCTCACCAAAGCTTGTGTTGATGTTGTGGATCAGCTATGTTCAAATTATTTAATATCCAGAATAACAAATAAATGGCCTATGACAATTTTTTATAATTTGTTGAATATATCTTGCATAAATTCTTTAATAATTTATAAATCCAATAATTTAAAGGAGATTAATAGATCAAAGTTTATAAAATTATTAGCAATGGAGCTAATAACTCTATTAATGAGTAATAGATATGAAAACCCACATGTTAATAAACTACTAAGGGATAATATTGGGAACGCTAAATATAGAGGAATTAAAACCTATTTCAACCAAACAAAAAGGAAGGTGCTCCTCTTGTCCAAGGGTTAGGGACAAGAAATCCTCATTTATTTGTTCAAATTGTTCAAAATTTATATGCAAAGATCATATGTATGTAACATGTCGTGATTGTTTTTTAAAAAAAATGCATGAACTTTAATATCAAATATTTCTTTTAATATCTGATGTTTTATTATAAAATTTATTTAATTATTACTATAAAATATTGAATTAATATAATATATAATCAAATTTGCTTCCATTCATTTATTTTTGGTCATATCATATGATTAAGGAAAGTTCCAAAAAAAAGATTTTTTTTTGAGCAGCTTTAGTAAATATATCATAACTTTATTTAGAAATAAATGTAAATCTAGAAATTTTGTATTTATTATCTCTAATATTTTTACAATAAGTATATAAAATTTTAGTTCTTAAATTTTATTATTTTCTGAGATATAGCTATTTAAAATTTGGGGTAAAATAGACCTCACCTATGTAACCGCGGGAGTTTTTTTCACCTATGTAGTGAAGGGTTAATGAGAAAACATACCGCATATAAAACATTATGGTTTTGCAGTACTCTGAAAGAGATAAAAACTGATATATGAAATAGTTCCTGAAATTAAATAAAAACAAAATATCTATTAGGAAACTCCTAAAAATCAAATCAATATCTAAACTAATAGTTCAATCTCTCTTAATCTCTTCCATGATACAAGTCTTTAGTCTTTTATTTCACATATCTCTGACTCGCATTTCATATTTCATTGACACCAGCTCTTATGTTTATTTATTTATCTTTTCTTCCCTATGCTTTATGTTTCCGTTCAATGGAATCTACTCACTTATAGATATTAAGTATTTTAAAATTATAATTGGTTCCTCCCTCGCCTATTCAGTAATTATATGCATATGCAATTCAGCCCATTCAGTAATTAGATGCATATGCAATTCATGCCCATTCACTTTTAATCAGCCCACAGACTTTTAAGTAATATTCCCTGGATTATTGCCCGTAGTATGTGCGGCTACCCCACAAACATGTGAAGGACTCCTTATTTTTTCCCCCTAAATTAAATATCCAGTTGATAGATTTGAGGAAAACCTAGTGTAACTCTGTTGCATCCAAAACTAGAGGAAAAACGTTTTTATCACGTGATATAAATAAATACCATATATTCTTAGCACAATATATTAGCCATGTTTAAATATAAAATATAAATAATTTTTGTTACTTAAAAAAAATATTTTGTGATATGAGTTATCAAAGACTTGGTAGTTAATTATTTTTATTATTATATTCTCTAGCTTAAGCTATGCAATGCAATATTATTTTGTTATATATTTATCATAAAATAGTGCACATGAGTTTAAAGTTTTTGTAAATATATGAAATATTTACTTTCATTTATATCCTAAATAACTTAAGTTTTTATTAACAATGATTGTTCAAAGGAAATTTAGCTAGGTCATTTTCAATAATTATAAACTTATGTCATATATAATCTCAACTCAATTTATACTTATATTTATGTTAGTATTAAATATATTTAAATTAAAGATGCATTAATTGTAAAAAAAATTCTTAAGGAATTTTTATTAGAAAACCATTTTTTAGATATTCTTTTCAATAAAAGTAGTAAAGTAAGAAGCTTGCTATATTTTGTTTGTTTTTCTCAAATATAACAATTTTAATCTATGGTATTTATGAAAATATATCTTAATATATAATTAAATACACCTGAAAAATATTTTAATTTTTTAATACCAAGTCCCTGTTGTAGTAATTATGGTAATATTTTATTTACATATTATGTGTTATATTTGTCAGTTACTAATGATTATATATAATATTTTATTATATGTTTTATAATGTATGATAGTATAATAATTATGTACGATAAACTTCATAATATCTTATGTATACATTTATCCATATATATATTTCCTATTGTTAAAATGGAGGAATAAAATGTCGGAAGATAAAATGCTTAACCTGTCAACAGTTTTTATCACCAATTTTATTATGTTGATTTTAACTAGTTCCTTTTTACAAAAAAGCAATCATAAAATTTATAAGTTTTTTTTAACAAGAGCAAACATACAATTTATATTTTGTTATATTATAGATCACCTATAATTTCATACTGATTGTGTTAGCCTTTACAAAAAAATAGTATAATATTCATTTATATTTTATACAAACTGTAATATTAATAATTTAATAATTATTAATGTAATATATAATTTATATTAAAGTAAATAGTATTTGTATTAAAAATAATCATTCTTATTTAGATCCATCAGCCCTATTCATAAATCAACTTTAAATTGCAAATAAAATAACTCATTTAAATATAATTAATTGTTCAAGCTTTTAAAAAAATATATATCTATATATATTTGTTATGGTATAGAATACAATGTATATTCCTAACACCGAGGGTAGTCATGTAAAATTTCTCCATTTAGGCCGATTTTTAAAAACGGCGAACTCAATATTCTACCTGAAATATTATACAAGCCTGAAGATTCTGCTCATAGATGGCAGAAAGGTTTGGACATCTATTAGCGAAAGCTTGAAGCATAAGCAATATTTTCCTGGCTAAATTGAGTTAGCCGTTTTTAAAAATCATCTAAATAGGAGCGATTTTGCATCACTAACCTAGAGAATCATCTTTTACCTTTCTTTTACTAGTTATATTTTATTATCTTATAAAATAGTTAAAATACATAATTTGAAATAATAATTTATAATAAAAATTAGGAAGTGTCGAATTTTGTGTTATTTTAAAAATTATATACACTATTGCTAAAAATTTTATAAAGAAAAAGTAGAAAGAAACAAAATTTTTAAAATAAATTCGGTCGGGCAAAAGGGCCTTACAATATCTTGTCATATGCTCTAACAAAATTAATATTTATATTAAAATAACAAATAATTAATTATAATTTCATCTATGATCATAAGAGAATCAGTATAGATCGTCTATAAAATTATATTATTGAATCGCATGTAATTATATTATACCATTGTTGAAGTTTCACCCTATTCTATTTTATTATTTATATCAAGTATAAAATAGTTTGAGCTTCAACTAGATGGACATTTATTTATTGGGAAATTTAGGTACACTGGCCCTTACATGGATGATTTATTATAATATAAAGAAATTTTAAATGATAATTTCATACTGAACACATCAAAATATAATTTTTCTTATTTATAATTAGAATCATTTGAAATATCAGATAAAAAAGAACTATGATTATTGGAAAATTTTCTGATAACTAAACTATTTAAAAAACAATTACGAAACCACTCAAAATAATCAAACATACATAAAGTATAACTTTTTAAATTCAAATTTTAGCATTTTAAATATATAGTTCTGAAAAAATCTATTTGTAAATTTAAAAAATATTAGATTACGAATCTTACTCCATCAATGTAATTAACACGAAATGTCCTACTGGTCATGAAAGGAAGGATTTATGCTGTAAGACTGGATCTATTTTAGACGCCTTCTACAATCAATTTATACAAGATTTCACTGTTACCAAATCAAAAGAGTCCATACATGCAAATATCAAAATAAATAATGCCATTGAGGATAAGGAAATTCGGATAAATAATGGTAATAGGAAAAAGCGTCTGACCAAAAATTGGTTATGCTTATTCGACGATGATAATTACGTCAACGTACCTGCACTAGACAGATATCTCAAAGAAGTCTCTATCAATATGAGGAGGATGAATAATGGCAAAGATTCTCTTCCAGATTCTACAGAATACCAATATTTGGGTAAATCTAGCATTAGAGGTCCTTTATTCCTGCCCATTTCCTCCCATTCACTAGTCATTCCAATGTTTTCCCAACTTGGAATAAATCATCTAAGTCATCCCAAAGTAAATTTACTTTTGAAATGATATTTTTTTAAATACAGTTTATTTCATGATCTTTTAAAAATTGTAAAAATATTATTAATTTAGATTATTATTTAATCCAGATGAAAAGCAACCAAAATTCAAGCAATCATGGGGTGTATTTTAATTTTGCGACAGGCGGGGCTGGCATATGCCTCAGCAAGTCTTTACTCCTCAGGATGGCATCATTTGTCAAGGATGGAAGATTTCTATCTACCTGCGAAACTCTCAACCTACCTGATGATGTAACATTGGGTTATATCATAGGTATATAAATATTTAACTTTATGATTTAAAAATCTATAAATTATGAAAATGTTTATAATATTTTATTATAAAGAAAACTTCCTTGGTGTCAAACTAACTTTAGTTTCTAGTTTTAATTCACACTTGGAAGATCTCAGTTCTATTCAAATGGCAAATATACCTCACCAATTAACATTCAGCTATTCCTTGAACCCTCTGAACACTATCCAAATACCACTCGCCATCCTTGCAACGAATAAAGCTTTTCCCAAATTCAATGTTAGCAAGGATATTTCCAAGTTGAACATAATTTTGCAATAGTACAAATTATGACAAAAATCATTTAAGGCTAAGTTCAAGAAAAGAATATTTAATAATTTTTTTTCGATTCGTTCTTATAGATAGAGTATACTAGTGACAATGACGAAACGTGAAGTATATTATTAGGGAAACAATTTATTTTTTATTTGCTATACCAAATTCTTCTTCTCCGTTTTTTGGCGATTTCCAGGTTTACCCGGGTAGGCCAGTTCACTGATTTTTCTTTTCCATTTTTTACGGTCTTGAGCATCAATATTTGTAAGATTCATGCTTCTCATATCCGCCGCTATCACATTTGTCCACGTCATCTTTGGCCTTCCTCTAGGCCTTGATCCTCCTACTACCATCAAGGTGTATCTCTTTACTCAGTCATCTCTTGTCATACTTTCCACATGCCCAAACCATCTTCGTCTATTTCGTCGCATTACCACTCCAATCATTTCTATACCCAATCTTGCTCACAATTCCTTGATAGTTTTTCTCTCTCTCAGAGATACTCCACACATCCATCTAATCATCCTCATCTTTGTTCTTTCTAATTTGGCTTCGTGAGTTGCGTTCATTGCCCATATTTCACCGCCATAAACTAAACAACTCCTCACACAGCTTACGTAAATTTTACCTTTTAGCGAGAGACTTTTTTATTTATTAGAATAGATGACATCTCTCTAAACATCTTCCATGCGTGTCTGACCCCTGCAACAACGGCAGAATCTACACCACCATCTGCGTTTAGCATATCACCCAAATAACAAAACTTATCAACCTTTCCTTGGGTTAACCCATTGCCAATATTCAGACCACCATTTTCTACGTTATCATTATTATGTACCCCTTTTATGCACCTTCTACAAATAAAGGTCATTCTTGCTAACATCAGACACCCTCTTTTCCCGCTTCATCTATTATGTACCCATTTCTGGCATCTGCTTCATTGGATTGAATTTCTAGCAACTCCATTACCGCATGCAAACCAAGGTCACTTACCGGATTCCTCCATCTTTAGATTTTCCCCACCAATTATCCCTTTGTCTTTGCTGCATTCATTTCCAGGCCCTTTGCTTTCATAGCCATCTTCCATTGACTAATTTTATCCCTCAATTCTCTCTCACTGTTTGCCATTAATACAACATCTGCAAATAATAGCTCCCAGGGAAGTCCTTCATGCATTTCTCTAGCCACCACATCCATTACTAAGATAAATAATAATGAACTCAACACGGATCCTTGATGAAGTCCTATCTTCACTTTAAAGCTTTCACTATCTTCATCATCCATCCGTACTGCAGTGTGTGCTCCCGCTACATTGCAATCACTGCCATAACCAACCATTCCTCCACACCTGATTTTTTCAAGCCCATCTAGTACCCTCGAGCGGCACCGCGTACGCAGGAATTTGGTCTGGGGGGGGATAATAAATTTTTTTAAGAAATAATATTTTTAATTAAAAATATTAAGCATAAATTTATTAGGATTAATAACTTTTCTTATACACAATTTTAAACTAATGTGAATTAAAAAAATTATATATATAAACCGGCATTTAAATGTGAATCATAAAATATAAAGTGAATATAACCCACGATATGAATCACTTAAATGACCCAAAATTGAAATTTGAATTTTTTGAGCTTTTAAAATATATAAAGTATAAAAAATTTAAATGTTGTAAATATAAATTAATACACAAAAAGTTTCTTAGGAATAATTGTATTTTGTATGTTTTGAGCTAATTTTTCAATTATCAATCCTTGCTTGGCGTTAAATGTCTATGAATATTTAAAAGATCCAAATTATTCAATCTACTTTCAGATGTTGTATTTCATAGGTATGTTTTTCACAGACTTGCAGGCCCGGCCCCCGAGCCGGACCGTATTTTAATTTTTTTAAATATACCCGGGCCGGGCTCGGAATTTTTTTTTTTTAAAACACCCGGGCTGGGCCTGAAAACTTTTTAAGAAAAAATATCCGAGCCGAGTTGTATATTTTAAAACCAAATATTTGAAATCGCCATTAGCTATAAATATCAAAAATAAATATAATTTATTTTAAAAAATTCGGGCTGGGCCAGCCGGGCTGGGCCTGAAAATTTTTTTAAAAAAAACCCGGGCCGGAAAAAATTTTTAAAAAAAATCTGGGCCTGGTCCTGCAAATGGTACCTCTGCAAGGTTCTGTTATTCTTCTTAAAAAAGTGAATGTTCTCTCATTAGTTTACTAAAGAGCTGCTAATATATATAACCATTTTAATAATTGGGAGTATAATCTAAAATGTGTTTGAAATAAAAGCATCCATAGCATTTTTTGGGACTGTATCAACCATAGTTAATCTTTTAATCATAGTTATTCAGCTAATAAGGCATCATAAGATATTTTAACATCTCATGATAAAAATATAACAAATATTTATATTTTTTTTCTATCACCATATGAAAAAGGTTGGGAGAGGGGACATTTGTTTTATAATACTCTTCTACTGATCCTATATTAATGTTTTGATGATGAGCTTGCTTGCTGCAAGTCGAGGGGGACAAATATTTAACACGTATAGCTCTGCTTTTGACTCAACAATAACATATAAAATATGAAATTCTTTAACAACACTAGCTCTATTTCCTTGAGTTCTAATAAAATGCTCTCCGCTATTCTCATCTTCTTAATCAAGTCAATGTTATGTTTTTGAAAAGTATTACATAAAATAGTTGTATAATTAAATAATACATTCTAATGAGAAAAAAAATTTGGAATAAGTATTGAATCCAATAATTTTCTTGCTTCTGAGGAAATATTTCTTTCAAGCCATTGTGATATTTCAGTAATAGCATTAATAATCAGCTTTTCTAACTCCAAAATAGCTGTTACTGTGGCGGAGACTCGATCTCGTTGGACAAGCTTGCAATTTTTTTCTCCCTGTTGGACAAGGAGTTTCAGAGATAATTATTATTTTATTAGAAATTTAGATAAATATTACGCCACTAAAATTTGAAAATAATAGGTAAATTACGCCAAGGAAAACTTGAAATCGAAATTGATTGATAAAATAACTTAGTAGATGAATGTGATAAATAAATGTAATTAAATATATATATATATATGTATATATGAGATAAGAATAAATATTAACAAATATAAATTAATATTAACAATAATATTTTTGAAAAATATAATCCGGCATCTGCATTTTTTGGCTTTGGGGGGGGGGGATTTGTCCCCCTGCCCCCCCCGCTGCGTACGCGCCTGTGTATAATGCTTTCTCCAAATCAACAAACACATAATACAGTTTCTTTTCCTTCGTAAGATACTTCTCCTTTATTTGTCTCACCATAAAAATTGCATCTGTCGTGCCTTTCCCCGATGTAAAACCAAACTGCATTTCATCCATTTTAGTTTGTTTCCTTATCCGCTTCTCTAACGCCCTCTCAAATACCTTCATTGCATGTTCCAAGAGTTTAATAGCTCTGTAAGACCCACAATCTAATGGATCATCTTTCCCCTTGTATACTGGGATAATTATACTTCTACGTCAGTTCTCGGGAATAGTTCCTCTGCGACAATTTGATTGACTAAATCCATTAACCATTCAATCTCCGAGTCATCAGAATCTTTAAACATCTCTGATACCACCATCGTTAAATCCGATGCCTTCCCTTTTTTCATCTTTTTCTCTGCTCTTTTTATTTCGTCCTTGCCAAATTTACACCCTGGGTCTTCTACCTTTGCACAACTAACATTATTATCCCATTCATTTTCTTCGTTCAAAAGTACTTCAATGTAGATTTTCTATCAATCACTATTTTTCCTTCCATATTTTTCAAAGATTTAACACCTACCACATCCTGCCTCTTTTTTGCCATCTGCTTTGCCATTCAAACCACAGTTCATTATTTTCTTTACTATTATACCATTCTTTGAAGCACCTCTGTTTCTCATCCAAAGCTTTTGCTACCTCCGGGTTCCACCACCAAATCTCCTCATTCCTAGGCGGTCCCTCAGTTGTCATCACCTAAGCTTTCTTCATGGCTTCCCACTTGTCATTTACCCCAGATGCTTGTGCCACCTCGGCCTCCCTTATCGCCAATGACATATTGAATTGACGTCTAGCACTCTCCCCCTTCAATTTCCTAACCTTCAGCCTTGGCACAAACTTTTTTTTAGTGATCCTGGCCCCTATAAAAGTGAGATCTCCTATAACTAGTTGATGCTGATTAATCCATTCCTCTCCCGGTATCACTTTCACATTTTTTTACTATACATCTATCACATCTCCTTAGTAACAAATAATCCACTGCACTTTTGGTACTATTACTTATAAGTCACCAGCTTCTCTGATTCTTTTTAAACATTGTATTACAGACAATCATATCCATAGCATCACTAAAATCTAAAATTCCCCTTCCAGATTTCTCATGCCGTAACTGAACCCTCCATGTACTCCTTCATAACCCTCACTACTCGCTCCCACATGTTCATTCAGATCATCAGTCAGGATAATCCCCTCTTCATTTGCCAGTCTCGATGCCACCCCCAATAGACTGTCCCAAAATATATCTCCAACCTGAGGATATGCCGAGTTAATATTATATAGCTTTCTACCAAAAATCATCTTGATAACCATTATCTGGTTATCTAACCTTCTCACTTCGACTACTTTGTCTACCAATTTCTCCGCAACCAATACCCCAACTCCAGCCTTACCATCATTACTTCCTTGCCAAAATTTATACTTTTCACTAATCTTGCCAATCAATCTTGCGCCATTTCCTTTCCATCTGATCTCCTGTATGCAGCACACATCTATATGCCTTCTATGCAATACATCGATCACTTCTCCCGCTCTTCCCGTTATACTCCCAAAATTCCATGTCGCGACCCTTATTCGATCCCCCTTAAACTGGTTTCTCCACTTATTATCAGGTCGTTTATGGCCGTCATAAGTTTCATTTTCCACCATGTTTCCCATCCTTCTTTTTGTCATAAGCAGATTAGGAGGCTCACGGGATACTTTGGGCTGTACCCCGCCCATGCTTTGTTGTAACCATAGGAAAATTTTGTAGCAAGGTTTAATAATAGGATGCCCTTCCTGACATAAACCCCTTTAAGTAGTTTTTACAACACGTGGAGGAGACTGTGATCCTATTCTAGACACAGATCACAGAGAACTTTTAGATCTCCATTAGCCGCCAAGAGACGTTGCCACTCCCCCGCCACGATGAGGCTGAAGGTAGGATTTTGTGAGAGAGGTTAGGATAAAAATGTGCTTTGTCTTTTTTTGAATAATTTTTAAGTACTTAAATAAAAAATATTGCTTTATTTAAAAAAATTTCCAGTTGAAATCAATGATTAATAAATTATCACTCAATTGTTCTTTTTAAAGATGAAAATCTCAAATCTAAGTTTTGATTTTTTCAAATTTTGAATAATTGGTGTTATTGGTCTTCCTTCTTCTATAATCAATTTTTTATAATAATTTTTTGAGCTAAATAATATTTTAAATGTGATTAGTTTTTAATGTAGTATTAAAATTATATTGATTTTATTTAAGAGTTTTACAAGGAAAATGACAAAAATTAATGCTTCCCTTACTTCTATGGACCATCACTAGAACATACTAATATTAATAATATAAATATAAACATTAAGGCCTATATATTTTTTTAAAAAAAATATTTGTTTGGCATAGATTCTATATGATACACTGTTATCTCATTTATCCCAATAAGTGTCAAACGCCGGAATGAACAAAACAGTGATTGACCTTTAAATAAATATTTGAGTATTATCAAAAATCATCATTGTATAAATTTATTATGATAAATAATATGTGGATATTATTGTAGCAAAATAGATATTCTTTAAAAGTCGTCTCTTTAGTTAAAATACATTTGAGTACAATACATCCATCTGAGGTAATTTTGCAATCTTGCAATTATTATTGTTGAATTAAAGTATTTTTTACAGGATTAAATATTATTATATTACTTAACCTACCCCAAAGAGATTTCATTGGTATTAGCGACTACATAACTTAAATAATAATAAGATTTTTAAGAATACATTATATGAGATATTCTAAAACTTAACAAAAATAGTTTGACATTCTATAAACTTTTAATAAAATAATAATTTTTTAAATATGATTTTTGAATTATCCCTGCATTTATATACCTTATATTTTTGACGAATGTTGTATTATATTCTATATTTATGATTATATCGGTTAAATTATTACAATTGATTTTTTCAATATCATAAAACGAATTAATGATTGTTGAATGGAAAATTAAAGATATCACATAATAATATATTACAATGATTGTTAAAAAATATGATGGAAATTTTTATCGACACATTAACACCGGGTTAACCAATTTCATTCTCACTCCACCTTGTTTTATCCTCTAATTTATAAAGTAAATATTTATTTAAGTTTTTTTAAATGATATAAATTTGTGAACTCAAAATGTCAACACTGCAGAATTAAGGACACATTCTTCATATAATTTAACAGGGAAAAGGGAACAACAAACTAATCAATTTAAAAAACATAAAATATATAGCCTTTTAATGCTAAATATATAGTATAATATTAATGCCATTTTTAAATTATATTAAATAGGCGTAGCCAAACTTTTGCTGGGGGAGGGGGCACTATCAGGTGGGTTTTCCGCATGAATTTTATTTGAGGTCTTTATTAGATTTTTATAAAAACAATAGAGTTTTTTTTTATAGAAATGCCTTTTTTCTAAAAATTTTGAATTACAGTCGTTATTTTAAAATATTAACTTTTTACTATTTTTTTTCAGTGATATATTTTATACTGAAGAGAGAGGGGGGGGGGTAGAAGGGATTTTTATTAGCTTAAGAAGATATTTACGAGAACAGGCATATTTTCGAAAGAGGGATACCACGGCTACGCCTATGTATTAATGATCACGATTACTATTTAAATGGAGAATAATTATATACATATACAAATGAATGTAGTATTCAATGGCCCCGGCAGTCAAGAGACCTTCTCCGCCCAAAAGCCCTGCAAAAAGTGTACCAGCTAAAAAAAGTGTTTCTTCAAATTCCCTCAAAGGAACTGCAGGTGGTGGTAATAAAATTTTACATTTATTCACTAAATTATCTGAGATAATAAGGTAACTTAAAATAAAACTAGTGCCTCAAACTTAAAGTAACTTCGAATCAATAAAGTGGGTGTCAAAAATGTAACTAACGATAACTTTTATTATCGATTATAACAGGTTAATAACTGTGTAGATTAAACATCAAATTTTGCCCAGACAACTTTATTAATATTGAATAATAAGTATAATTAATTTTCCTAGCTTATATTTTAATAAAATAGAGTGTATTAATTTATTATAAATTAGATAATATAAGATGTCTATAATATGAAGATTATTTTAAGTCAATCTAAAATTACACTTTCTAATTGTAGAATATTCAACCGAGAATTAAATTAGCAATAAAATAAAATCATATTTCATATTTTAAGAAGGAAAATTAAAATTAAAAAGATGAGTAATTGAAAGAATAATTAAATTTTTTGAATAAAAATCACTCGTTTTCCATTATTTCCCCTGTAATGTTTATCTCCAATATTTGCACCAATCATAAGTATGTCGCACTATAGTGTTAAACACTTATCGTTTCTCTTTATCTATTTGAAAAATAAACTAATTTTTTTTAAAGTAACTACCAACCACTACATGTTTGAAGTATGGAGTAATGGTACCGTGTTGCTCATAAAATAATAATAGGGATTATTGAAAAATATGACTTAAATTTCTTATTTAATATCAAAAATTTTGTTATTAATAAACATGTATTCAAGTAATAAATAAATTCAAAATTCTTAGATCCAGGATGAATTTACAATTTATTTTAAAATTAATGAAGTCAAAAATTTAATGCTATGATAAATATACAACTATACACCTATAAATAATATTTCCCATCTCAATTTTATTCTAAATAACATATTTTTACACTTAAAAAATGATTAATTTTATTTTAGCTTTTTTAATAAATGTTATTTCCAATATTAATTAAATAATAATTAATATCATAAAAATCAACCGGTTCTTTTATTATTGCTTTAATACAAGTCAAACAATTGATCTTATTCTCACTTAATAATTTTCTGACAATGTACCCGGATATATAATGGTTGACATCATTTACAAATGCAATTGGGTTATATTCAAGACTTCATCAAAGTATATAATTGTGTGCAGTAGAGATATCAAGAGTCTAATCTTTTTCGTCTTCTATTCTTGGCTGAAAATCTGAACATATTATTGAAGTATTATCTTGTTCTATGCAATTTGTTATTTTTGCAATTATTATCCCCCTAATTGCTCATATAATTTGATAAGCGGAAGGGTTATTAATCCCCTAGATCGTATGGTTGAAAAAAATAGTACTAGTCATTAAATATTTAAAATAAAATCGAGTAATTGTCAATCATTAAATATGTAAAGTATATGATACTGGGGGATTATATCATCGGCCAGCAGTACCGCTAGTTTTACTGAAATCAATCTAACTAAGCACATTTTTTAAGAGATTGTAGACTTGAAAAGTTGTTTTTAAAACGTAAATATGATAAAATCTGGGTTGTCTCTATATAAAAAGTGATAAATACAGGGAAGGCAGATATCAAAAATTTAAATTTTTTATTATTACTATTTTTAAAATTATATATCTTTTTGTCTTTTATACTATATACAATTTTTATAATATGATATTTTTACATATACAAAATTTAAGAAAAGAAGAATTTTACAAAATTTAGGAAGAATTTATTTTAAGGTTAAAGAAAAAGAATTTATTTTAAAGTTTTTGCATATAACAAAGTAAAAAACAAGTTTGCTGTTTGTATTTGATCATTCCCATTTCGCCTCCAAAATTTTATATTTTATATCAAAAATTTTATTCATTTATTTATAACAAAAATTTTATAGGTCGAAGTTATAATTTCGATCTTGACTTTGAACTTGTGGATCTTGAACTTGTGAATCTTGAACTCGATCTTTACTTCTTCCCCCTCTAAAAACCTGTATAATATTTTCATTTGTTATTACATTGGTTGATCTTTTCTTTATTTGATCTAAATGCATTCTAATAATATTGTGTCCATTATCTATTTTGTATGACAGTTCCCATCTTTATGTATCACTATTTCGTTATCCCATATATTTTCTTTAAAATTCTTGTACCAATTCGTTGATTAACGTTTTTGCCATTGTTGTTGCTGACTAAGTCATATCTTTTTCATTGGTTTGTTCGAATCACTAGCTTTGATCGTCTAATCATTCACTTAATCATCATCCTCCCATTAGCTTATTCATCTCGTTATTCGAATAATTTTGGAATAATTGAAATGATAATGGAATAAATAATTTATCGGAATAATTCATAGAATAAGAATATCATATATTGGAATATTGAATCATAGAATATTTTGAATTGTCGCGTTTTATATATAATACTTTTTTATTTTTTATTAAAGTTCAATAATTTTTATTTTTAAAATTTGAATTTTACTCCTTTATTTTTCAATTTAAACAATTTCTTCATAGTATAATTCTTCAACTTATATTTTATAAAGAAATTTTTCTTGTCTTAATTTTTTAGAAAATGATCTTCTTATCGTAAATATTTTTCTCAGAGTTGTTAACGCTCCTTTTTAAAAGTAGCGAGCTCCGCTCCCGCTCCTACCTTCTCAAAAGGAGCGAGCTCCCGCTCCCGCTACTACATATTAAAAGGAGCGCTCCCGCTCCAACTAATGGAGTGCCGCTCCATAACCGCTCCTAAGATTTTCATTTTTTTAGAAGGTACACGAAACAAAATCATATTTTTTTATCAAAACGTTTTATTTATATTATATGATATATCAAAATATTTATAATCTTTTATTAGCTTTTAAAAGTAATAAATTTTCTAAATTAGAATCTAACAAACATTTACGCTTCTCCCCTAAGACCTGTTTTGCAATACTAAATAGGCGCTCCA